ACGAGAAATTAAGTCGTTATAACGAGAAAACAACTCTCGTTATGTCGATATAACGAGAAAATTAAGTCGTTATAATGAGAAAACAACTCTCGTTATGTCGATATAACGAGAAAATTAAGTCGTTATAACGAGAAAACAACTCTCGTTATGTCGATATAACGAGAAAATTAAGTCGTTATAACGAGAAAACAACTCTCGTTATGTCGATATAACGAGAAAATAAGTCATTATAACGAGAAAACAACTCTCGTTATGTCGATATAACGAGAAAATAAGTCGTTATAACGAGAAAACAACTCTCGTTATGTCGATATAACGAGAAAATTAAGTCGTTATAACGAGAAAACAACTCTCGTAATGTCGATATAACGAGAAAATAAGTCGTTATAACGAGAAAACAAGAAGGAAAAAAATTATAATGCATGGCCGCTTAGAACTTCCGTACAAAGGTGTAAAGTTGTGAGTACTTTTTTTTTGCGATTTTGTAGGTTGTTGACATTTCTTATCTAAAAAAACACTTCATTAAACAAAAGCAAGGGAGAAATTGTTTCATGCAAATTTTTTTACACAAAATTTGTGCATGGAACAGTTTACATAAGAATGGTTTTAAGAACGATTTACACTTAAATCTGCATGTTTCATAAATGAGACCTCACAAAAAGGCTCATTATTAATGTTTTTTATTATACATTAAACAAAACATAAATTACGATTTTATAGAATGTGTACACAAATAATACAAAAACCAAAAAAGAAAACTTGTATTTTTTACAATCAAAATATTTTTATTCATATTTTATTGGTTGTTGACATTTATAGTGTTTGTACACTATGAAAATAAGTGTATGAAAAGTAGTGTTGCGATTTTGTGGGTTGTTGACATTTTTAAACTCTTTTTACATTTTATTTTTTATTAATTATTTAATTATTATTAATCATTATTCATGTATTTTTATTATTATACATAAAAACATGCCATAAAAAAGGCAAAAATCTAAAAGAAAATAGTACAATTATTTTAATGTTGAAGCGCTATGATTTTATTGGTTGTTGTTAATTATAATAATAATAATGAAATGGTGTCTGAGGTCTCACCTGCAGGTATGATGACAGACAGGGCCGTGGCAGAGGCCGACTTTATGACTTTGGTTCCTGAGCGAGTTGCGGTACGTTTCTCACTGTCAGTCGGAATCTGATGATGTCGCGCTCTTCGTAAGACGAGGTCACTTCCTACGCGAGGCCCAAATGAGTCTGGTATGTGTAGAGGAGCCACGGCATCGGCAGGCCGCAGGAGTTTATCTGAGAGACAGGAAGATACAAAACTAATTCATATGAATGTGAGATAAAACTGGACGGTACTTTGAGTGATTGACACCCAGGAGCACAACAGTAGAACGTATGAAATTATGTTCTTTATTTTTAATTATAAGACTAAATCACCTCCAGGATGTCCCACTGACGCCGCAGAGCTGGACTCCACCAGTCCAGAGCCGATGGGCACGCTGGCGCCCTCTAGTGATAAACCCCTGGTTTTGATGGGTGTTTGGCGCGTGTGCACATCACCGTCTCCCTCTAGTGGAGAAGCGAAGCGGTGCGTGTCCATCAGCGCTGAGAAACGCCGGCGCGCGCCTGGAGGACTGGACTCTGACTCAGTGAAGGACAACTCTGAACACGACAAACGCTTCCTACAGAGACAGCAGGACAAATAGAGGGGTTTACTGAAGATTAGGTGTCTCTCTAATCAAAATTAGATGTTTATATTTTCTCGAGACATTGTGAGGTGCTAGAAAGGGTGGTTGCTAGGGTGTTTTTGGTGTATGCTATGCGGTCCTGGGTAATTTTAAACATTTCTAGGTGGTTTCTAAGGTGTTCTGAACGGATGCTATGGCATTGCTAGGTGGTTACTAGGGTGTTTTTAGTATATGCAGTTGGTAGGCAGTTCTGAGTGGTTATAAATGTGTGACTTCGTGCTTGCTAGGTGTTTTCCAAGGTGTTCTGAAAGGGTTGCTAGGGAGTGGTTTTAAATGTGATACTATGTGGTTTTCTAAGGTTTTCTAAGTGGTTGCTAGGCCGCTTTTAGTGCATGTAGTGCAGTTAGGCAGTACTGGGTGGTTTTAAATGTGCTACTTTGTTGTTGTTATGTGGTTTCTAGGCTACTCTGGGAGGTTGTTATGTTGTTGCCCTCTGTCTTTCTTACATCTCAGGGGATCCGGTTCTCCAGGTCTTGTCTCGGAGGGTCAGGCTGCCTAGACTTTCTCTCTTACTGCGATCTTTTCTGTGAGCTTTGGGCTCTCGACGGGTCACCACAGGCTTGTGCTCCAGCTGGAACAGATGCTCCATGCTGCTGTACACCTGTGATTCAGATGCACTAGATGAATCGTTGAATGGGCTACATTACCCATAATCCTTGCGATTGTGTAAACGGCAGAATCATTCTCATGAGACAGAGAGGTCTAACCTTGCTGAAGCGTGGCGAGCAAGAGGAGAAGTGGTGAATCTCCACTGGCTCATCGTCATTGGTGTCGTCCTCATCGTACGAGTGAACGTGATGATACCGCTCTGATCGCGCTGAAAAAGACGGATGAGTTACTCACTAACGCACACTAACAGACGACAGCACAAACACACACTATCTGTCCGTCACTCACTGTCGAAGTAGCTGGTGTCCTCCTCCGACTCCAGATGAGGGATGAACTCGGCTTTCTGTCGGAGCAAACTGCTCCAGTCCAGATCACAGAAGAACGAATGCTGCTTCACCTCGAACGCTCCACCTGCGCACAAACACATGACTTCAATCAGCGCGTGCAGAACATATGGCTTTACTAAAACAATAAACCATGTGAGGTGACGACAGCAATATGATAAAAGACAATCAATATTTAGTAAATTATCAAATGAACTACTAATAATAGTAATCATTAAAAACAGATTCTGAGTGGTTGCTAGGGTTTTTTTTTGCATGCTATGCAGTTGTTGGGGATTCTGAGTGGTTTCAAACCTGCTATAGGTTTCTTGGTGGTTTCTAAGGTGTCTTGAGCGGTTGCTATGCTGTTGCTAGGGTGTTTTAATGCATGTTGTGCAGTAAGTGCTTCTGAATGGTTTCAACTACTTACTACTATGTGGTTGCTAGGTGGTTTCATATGTGTTCTAAGTGGTTGAAAGGCTGTTGCTAGGTTTTTTTTAATGCATGCTATGCAGTAAGTGCTTCTGAATGGTTTTACTACTTACTACTATGTGGTTGCTAGGTGGTTTCTAAGGTGTCTTGAGTGGTTGCTAGGCTGTTGCTACGGTGTTTTAATGCATGTTGTGCAGTAAGTGCTTCTGAATGGTTTTACTACTTACTACTATGTGGTTGCTAGGTGGTTTCATATGTGTTCAAAGTGGTTGCAAGGCTGTTGCTAGTTTTTTTTTAATGCATGCTATGCAGTAAGTGCTTCTGAATGGTTTTACTACTTACTACTATGTGGTTGCTAGGTGGTTTCTAAGGTGTCTTGAGTGGTTGCTAGGCTGTTGCTAGGTTGTTTTTAATGCAGGTGGTTCTGAGTGGTATTAAAGTTGCTACTATGTGGTTGCCAGCTGGTTTCGTAAGAAGTTCTGAGTGGTTGCTAGGGTGATACTGCAAGGTTGTTATGTTGTTACTTAGGTATTCTAGGTGGTCAGACCTTGAGTCCCTCCTTATGTGTAAGTCTATGGGACATTTTCACCTGTTATACTGTCCAAGAATGAACCAAAGTTCAAAAAGTAGGTTTAGGGATTTGAGTTTTGAGCGTTTTAACTATTTTTCAGCCAAGAAATATGCTTTTTTAAGTATATAATTTTTTTTAGATATGCTACAAATGCTTCAAACATGGTTCATACAAGCAGATTTAGAGGCCTTATAGTACAGCTCTTATCTAAGTCAACAGCTCTAACATTTAGATTACATCGGCGTCTTTAGTGACAGCTGGTCACATGACTGCAGGTGTGTGATGTCACCTGTGCCCAGTCTGAGCAGCGGGTTGGTCTGCAGGAGAGATGAGATCAGGTGCTGCACATCAGCGGGGAGGGTGTCATCATCATCGGGCCACACAATGTCATCTACACACATGCATATTTGACATTGTGTAGATCTTCTTTATTTGGATTCATGAGGTGTGTTATTGTAGGTGTGTCTTTACCTGTGATCACCTGACCAAACAAGTCCTCTGGTGTGTCGCCGAAGAACGGCACGCAGCCCACCAGAAACTCGTAGAGGATGATGCCCATGGCCCACCAGTCCACTGGCTTGCCGTAACCCTGCCGCAGGATCACCTCCGGGGCGATGTACTCTGGGGTGCCACAAACCTGGGGTCAAAGGTCAAAGAACGACAGTCAAGCCTCTTAACATGACATCATCAGTGACACTTTATCATCACCTTGAATTATAAATTCTGCTACATTACATTTGTTATGTTAAAATAAATTAAATGAATCAAGTAATTTTAATTTAGAGACAATTGCAAAAGCTACTACAATAAAGCCAAGCTACTACAATTTCAGTGCGTTGCTATACGGTTGCTAAGGTGTTTGGACTAGTTTTCAGGGCGTTGTTATGCGGTTATGATGTGTTTGGATTGCTTTTCAGCGTGTTGCTATGCGATTGCTGAGGCGGTTGGAATAGTTTTCAGCGTGTTGCTATGCGGCTGCTGAGGCGGTCGGAATAGTTTTCAGCGTGTTGCTATGCGGCTGCTGAGGCGGTCGGAACAGTTTTCAGCGTGTTGCTATGCGGCTGCTGAGGCGGTCGGAACAGTTTTCAGCGTGTTGCAATGCAGCTGCTGAGGCGGTCGGAATAGTTTTCAGCGTGTTGCTATGCGGTTGCTGAGGTGGTCGGAATAGTTTTCAGCGTGTTGCTATGCAGTTGCTGAGGCGGTTGGAATAGTTTTCAGCATGTTGCTATGCGGTTGCTGAGGCTGCTGAGGCGGTCGGAATAGTTTTCAGCATGTTGCTATGCGGTTGCTACAGTGCTTGAAATCATTTTTAGCATGTTGCTATGCAGTTGCTAAGGTGTTGCTTCATCAACACTTCATCAGTGACACTTTATCATAAACTTGAATGTGTTAATTACTTTTGTTATGATAAAAAATAACTAAATAAATAGGCACACAATGAAATTAAAACTGTAGTTTTGTGGCTTTTAGACCATGACTATGTGCAGTATAGAATATTGTAAGTATTCTCTGGTACCTGTTTATCCAGGAACTCCCTGGTGTCCTTCTCGATGTGTCCCTCGTACAGGTTTGTGGTGAGACTCATGAGACCCATTTTAGACAAACCGAAATCAGTGAGTTTAATGTGACCCATTGACGTGATCAGCAGACTGATGGAGAGAGAGAGATACAGACAGACAGAGAATATGTGAGACAGTCTCTACAGTAACACACACTCAAGCTGAGTGGCACTTCTGACATGTGTTTAATTATATAACACAATCTGTCCGAATTAAACGATATCATTAATCTCATACAGGAAGTGCTCTATGTCATTGCACAACAGATGGAAAATGAATCTCAGCAATCATTTAATTGAATGCGCATGGTCATTTAGTAAATGACATGCTCCCTGCCATCATCATTAAATATAATTCAGAAATATTTTAAATGTTATTGGTGTATTACTTGTCCGGTTTGAGATCTCGGTGCACGATTCCATAGTTGTGGATGTATTCGAGTGCCAGCACGGTTTCAGCAAAATACATGCGCGCCATTTCCACAGGCAACGCTCCAATATTCTTCAGCAGTGTCGCGCAGTCGCCTCCTGAAACAAAATTAACATCTCATTAACATCTCAGTTGTTTCTCATATGACAACAATACAGAAATATCCTGCTTCTCAGATGTTTTAAAAAGACTCCAGTAATCTCACACGTCTCCTCAAGTGTTTCCGAAGAGATCTCAAACTGTGCTCAGATTTGCTCGAGATCCCCAACATGAACTCAAACTTTTCTCATCAAATGATCTGAGCTGCTTTCCACATTCATTTTACAGCCCTAGACCAGGGCTGGGCAACTTCAGTCCTGGAGGGCCACTGTCCTGCAGGGTTTAGCTCCAACCATAATAAAACACACCTGCCTCCAGGACCGAAGTCGCCCAGCCCTACCCTAGACTCTTACTGGATGACGACTATACACTCGTCTGGGTCTGTTTTATTTCTCAGGCACTTTAAGAGAAACATCTCAGAGTTGATACTTAAAGAAAACACACCTGAGACCTCAATAAAGTCAATAAAGCTTTAAAAGAGCAATAAAAGTGTGTGCGTGTCTCACCCTCCACGTACTCCATGACCATACACAGGTGTCGTCTAGTCTCAAAGGAGCAGAACATGCTGACCACGAACGGGTTCTCGGCGAAGGTCAGGATGTCTCGCTCCACAAATGCCTGCTGGATCTGGTTCCTCAGAATCAGGTTCTGTTTGTTGATTTTCTTCATAGCGAAACGCTGCCGCGTCTCCAGATGGCGGACCAGATACACCGCGCTAAAACACAGCAACTTCTGTCAGTGTCTCAACTTCTCTATGTGCGTTTGGTTATTTAGTAGATGCTTTTGTATCCACAGTGACGGTAAAGACATTTATAATGTTACAATAGCTTTCAGTTACAAATAAATGTTGCTCTATTAACTTTCTATCCTCATCTAGATATTGAATCAAACGGGTGTGTGTGTGTGTGCTGGTTTACCCATAGGTTCCATTGCTGATCAGTTTGATGGTCTGGAAATCTTCCTCTCCAGGTGGCTTCATGGGTTTCATTTTTCCCTGGAAAAGAGAAAAATCAGCTCAACTCTCACACAGGATGCCATTATTATCTTGTAACAGATGCTTTACTGACAAGCAATCATTTTCAGATTTCCCGGGGCTGTGTGTGTGTGTGTTCAGACCTCTGCAGAGTCGTCTGTCTCTGGTGTGACCGGCCCCTCACTGTCGTAATGCTCTCGACTGACCATCTCTGAAACACAGACGTGACAGTCGGTGAGTGATCTGCTGCCGGTTCACTGTACTGGAATCAGTGCTGTGTGATTGTTGTGTGACTGTGGTCTCTCACCCTCCAGAGGGTCTCTGGTCAGACCCAGCTGACTGATGATGTATCGCGGGATGTCGGTCTTCATCAGGTGTCCTTCTTTAGCGTGATCTTCAGCCGCCTCCAGCAGATGGTAGAACTCTTCAGGGTTAAACTCCTGCACAACGTGTCAGAGTGAAATCTATTAGAGTTGCTGTGCGGTTACTGAGGTGTTTGAAATAGTGTTCAATGTGTTGCTATTCGGTTGCTGAGGTGTTTGGTTTAGTTTTAAAGGGGTCATATGATGCAATTTCAAATTTTCCAAGAAGTTGCAAAGACTAAAGTCTCAAATCCAAAGAGATATTCTTTATAAAAGTTAAGAGTCAGCCACACCCCCATAAAACGGCTCGTTCTAAAACGCCCCCACATATCTACCTCACTATGTGGGAAGATTTGTATAATGCCGCCCAAATGTTCACGCAAAGAAAGAAGGTGTGGTTTCAGGAACAGCAGTAGTGCTGATGCAGCATGTCAGGGAGACGCTGTGTTTCAGTGCGAAATCAAAAGCACTTTATTTGGCCTTCCAGAAGTAGATGCAATTAGGAATCAGCGGTTAAGATTTATTTACAACAGAACAGCACAACCCAGATGTTCGAATTTGTGCAACGCATTTTATGGACGACGTACAAGAGTACAAGGCTGGCTGTGCACAAAGGCTATTTCAAAAAAACAAAAAGGGTCAATTCCGACTTTGCTATGACAATCTGGCGCTTCTGAATCAGCGACTGTAAGTATGTTTTGTTATTAGTTTAAGTATTTGCTATTGACTGTTCAAATCATAAATCATAGCACGTCAGCTGTCTTAACCGCGGCTTGTGTACTGCATCATCACTGTGTCTGTCACGTGACTCTGTTGCCCTTTCGGGCTTGAACTGATGGTAAAACTAACGACATTATTAACTGTCTTGATATTTACTTTGAAAGCTGAAGCTGGCGATTATGGTAAGGGGCGTTACATTTCCGACACGTGCTTGCGGTGTTCGGCCAATCACAATGCACTGATTCAGCTGGCCAATCAGAGCAGACTGTGCTTGTCAAAGGAGGGGCTTTGTTGAAAACGAAGCGTTTGAGAGAGGCGGGGCATAGAGGAACTACAATAATGTACAGTATTTGAAAAATAATGTGTTTTCTGAACATTAAAGCATGTCAACATATTCTGTTACACCAAATACACAAAATAATGATCTTTAAAATAGCATCATATGACCCCTTTAAGAAAGTTGCTATGCGGTTGCTGAGGTGTTTGGAATAGTGTTCAATGTGTTGCTATGCGGTTGCTAAGGCATTTGGTTCAGTTTTTAGAAAGTTGCTATGCGGTTGCTAAGGCGCTTGGTTTAGTTTTTAGAAAGTTGCTATGTGGTTGCTGAGGTGTTTGGAATAGTGTCCAACGTGTTGCTATGCAGTTGCTAAGGTGTTTGGTTTCGTTTTAAGAAAGTTGCTATGCTGTTGCTAAGGCATTTGGTTTAGTTTTTAGAATGTTGCTATGCGGTTGCTGAGGTGTTTGGAATAGTGTTCAATGTGTTGCTATGCGGTTGCTAAGGCATTTGGTTTAGCTTTTAGAAAGTTGCTATGTGGTTGCTGAGGTGTTTGGAATAGTGTCCAACGTGTTGCTATGCAGTTGCTAAGGTGTTTGGTTTCGTTTTAAGAAAGTTGCTATGCTGTTGCTAAGGCATTTGGTTTAGTTTTTAGAATGTTGCTATGCGGTTGCTGAGGTGTTTGGAATAGTGTTCAATGTGTTGCTATGCGGTTGCTAAGGCATTTGGTTTAGTTTTTAGAAAGTTGCTATGCGGTTGCTGAGGTGTTTGGAAGAGTGTCCAATGTGTTGCTATGCAGTTGCTAAGGTGTTTAGTTTAGTTTTTAGAATGTTGCTATGCGGTTTCTGAAGATAGTTTTCAGCATGGTATTTTGCAGCTAGTTTTTATTACTTTACTATGAGGTTGCTACATGCTCTTTCATTCTGAAATAAGTCATAAATGCAATGCAAGTTCAGTTGGGTTCAGGGTGCAGGTGGCATTATTGTTTGGTTGAGGATCAGCTCTAGGGTTCAGTTTCTGTGACATTCCAAAAATAAAGCTGAATTAAACTGAACATTTGTAATTTGCAGGAGTACATGAACACACTCTCTGGGACTCTGCTAGAAGCTCATTTTGGGGGCATCTCTGTTTAATGGGGATAATGAATGGTTCATGTGGTTTAATCCTGGAGCAGCACAGAAACATTTCCAAATTAGTTTTTCAGGCAGTGAATCACAGAAGGCCAATGATAACAGCAACACGCTCACAGCTCCCAATCTAAATGCTAATGCAGCCACAGATTCAACTTGCTCTTGCTCTTTTGTGTGTTTTGCAGTGATTCTAGTTTAAAATACTTTTCTGAAGTTGGAGTGAAAATTGGAAAGTGTCAGCCTTGTGTTGTTGGTGTCCAGAGGGGTTTGGAGCATCATGTTATCTGATGAATGGATGAAAGAACAAGCAAAAGAAAGCATTTTCTCACCAAACACTCCAATAGTCGAGCAGGTCGAGAGATGATGAAGAGAAGTTTCTTCACCAACTCAGTGACAAAGGTCAACTCTGAACTCTCTGACCGCTTATAAGCCTGAGAGACACAGACAGAGAGAAACAAGCGAAACAATGTCATTATTTCTTCACATTACAGTAAAGAGACCGTCCTCGGCAGGTTTCATGAGATCTCAGGTTTGATGTGATGAACTCACATCGTCCAGAAGTTTCTCCAGGTTCTCCTGCAGCTCAAAGAAGTAGACAGACGTGATGAGACCCTCCTTAGATTTGGTCAGGCAGTCTCTGGACAGCTCGATGATCTGGTGGTGAATGAAGCTCAGGACTCCGTCAGCCAGCGGCAGAACGCTCTCGGGACAATACGAGTGGATGAAATCCCACAACCTGCCCTCCATCTGCGCCGTGGCCTGACCGGAACAAATACAGAGACTACTTATGAAGATACGCCTAAAGATATATATATTCTAGAAATAATAATAAGAATAATAATGAGTATTTTATAACTACTAATAATAATATTATTATAACGATTATTATTATAAAGCATTTTGTAATAAATAATCTACAATTATTATTATTACCAGTAGTAGTAGTTCTAGGTAGTAATATAAGAAGAAGAAGAAGAAAATGAGCATTTTAGATATTCTAGAAATGTATAATAATAATTATAATAATACGTATTTAATATAAATAAATAATTATTCTAGAAGTTTTTATTAATTTTATTAAGTATTTCCTAATAAATAAATCTACAATTATTATTATTATTTCTGGATTATTTATTTATTACAAAATGCTTATGAATTATAATAAGTATGTATTAAAATGTATGAGGCGGTGTATTGAAATGTATTATGTTTAAATATATACACATTTGATGTTCAGTATATAGTTGTGTAAAGCAAGATTATAAAAGATGTTTTAATTTTTTAGAAAATGATTTTATTTTGATTTCTTATCTCTTGTCTGTTGATTACTCCAGCCGTCCTCGGTTAACCTGATGCCACTCTCACCATATAAATGTGTTTGTCTTACAGCAAACTGAGAGACAGACACCAGACACCAGTGAGAGCCTCTGTGTGTGTGTGTGTGTGTGTGTGTGTGTGTGTGTAACTTAACATTATCTAGGAATAATAAATGCAATACAAGTATTGTTCATGTTAACTAATACAGCAAACTAATGTTAACAAATGAAACTTCATTGTAAAGTGTTGGCAAAGACAATTATAGAAATTATAATATTTAGAAATTGTATGAATTAGTATATAAATTATATGAATATAATTCTAGCTTCTGTTCAGCATGTTTGTGTGCTCACAGAACTTCAGAGAAGACACTGGTGAAGGTGGACAGGTGTGAGAAACAGGTAGACAGATGCTGTGGTGTGTGTGTGTGTGTGTGTGTGTGTGTTACCTTAGGGAAACGCTCCCTGTAAACATGATTCATCATAATGATCTCATTGTCGTAGCAGGAGTGAGAGCGACCCGGACTGAACACATGACAGAGAGAGAGAGTGAGAGTTAAACACAACTACTGCAACTAACACGTGTGTGTGTGTGTGTGTGTGTGTGTGTGTGTGTGTGCGCGTGTGAGTGTATGCGTTTTTGTGACAAATGAGGACATAAATTTGTATAATGACAAAGGTATGACATAGGTATTACAAGGAGAAGGTGACTTTTCAGGACATTACCCCATGTCCCCACTTTTCAAAACGCTTATAAATCACACAGAATGGAGTGTATTGAAAATCTGAAATAGCACAAAGTCTCCTGTAAGGGGTAGGTTTAGGGGTAGGGTTGGTAAAGGGCAATAGAATATACGGTCTGTACAGTATAAAAACCATTACGCCTATGGGATGTCCCCACTTTTCACAAATGTAAACCTGTGAGAATGTGTGTGTGTGTGCGAGTGTGTGAGTGTGTGAGTGTGTGTGTGTGCGTGTGCAAGTGCGTGAGTGTGAGTGTGTGCGTGAGCGTGAGCGTGTGCGAGTGTGTGTGCGAGTGTGTGTGCGTGCGTGTGCGTGAGTGTGTGTGTGTGCGTGTGCAAGTGCGTGAGTGTGAGTGTGTGCGTGAGCGTGAGCGTGTGCGAGTGTGTGTGCGTGCGTGTGCGTGAGTGTGTGCGTGAGCGTGAGCGTGTGCGAGTGTGTGTGCGTGCGTGTGCGTGAGTGTGTGCGTGAGCGTGAGCGTGTGCGAGTGTGTGTGCGTGCGTGTGCGTGAGTGTGTGCGTGAGCGTGAGCGTGTGCGAGTGTGTGTGCGTGCGTGTGCGTGAGTGTGTGCGTGAGCGTGAGCGTGTGCGAGTGTGTGTGCGTGCGTGTGCGTGAGTGTGTGTGTGTGCGTGTGAGTGTGCGTGTGTGTGAGTGAGTGTGTGTGTGTGCGTGAGTGTGTGTGTGCGTGTGTGTCTGCAGACCTCAGGCTGCGTGAGCGGGGTCTTATGTGGGGTGAACAGCGTCCCCCGTCATCATCAGTGATGCTCTCTGTGCTGCCGAAGTGTTTGGACAGGAAGTGCAGCTCGTCCATGGTGGGTTGAGACGGCAGCTGGTGCAGACGCTCCTGAGACGAGCTGGAGGACTGCAGATAAACACACAGACTCACATCTCAATAAACTGTGACAGAAGGAAGGCATGAGCAGGCTGTAAACTATCAGGAAGCATCAGCTCCAGTCCCTAGTGAGCCGCCTACATAGACAGCATTTTAAGGGAACATTACGGTGGCCGAGAAGTGCAGAACAAATCACAATTCTGAAAACAAAATAACAAATTGCAAACGCAAATGTAAGTCTAAAAAACAAAATAACAATTCAGAAAGCACAACAACAATTCAGAAAACATTATAACAAGTCAGAAAACACAACGACAAATCAGACAAACCGGAAGAGGTAGGTATAGTTTGAGACAGCGCCATTGGTTTGGGATTACTCACCGCTGACTGGACAAGACATCTGTCAATCAACGTATACAGGAAGAACCAGCCGAAGAACAGCAGAGTCGTGGTAGAAAGTTCAGAGATGGTATGAAAGTAGCTCAGTTTAAATGTATTGTATGAATTGCCTTCACTGTGGAATAAAAAATACGGAGTGTATATTTAGATTTAGTTAAAAGTGGCTGTGAAACATCAGCTCCAGTGGTGCAGGTGGATAAGAGTGTGCTCTTGGCTTTTTGACGCAATCGACCCAGGTTCGATCCCGCCTTTTGCCAAACTTTTTTTCCCTCCCTTTTCAAATCTCGTATCACATCGTAAAGGCATTTATTTTCAATAAAAATGAAGGAAATAATCAAAAAGTTGAAAATAAAGTATGGGGTAGGGTTAGGGTAGGTGTAGGGAGGGCTTTATTGTACCAATAAGGTGGCATCCATTTAATAATTTAAATTTTAATTATAATTTACACTCAATACGTTATTATTGCATACTGTTTTATAATGTACTACAATACTGAAGTGCAGATAATTGCCACTATTTGCAACAAGTAGTGTACTTGATAGTAGAAATCCTGCTATTTTAACATAGTGTAACTAGGTATTTGCACTTAGTGTTAAATAGCATATTGCTAAAAATACTGCTATTTTCACTTAGTGTAAATATAATCCATTACTAATACGAGATTTGAAAAGGGAGGGAAAAAAAGCTCGGCAAAAGACGGGATCGAACCCGGGTCGATCGCGTCAAAAAGTGAGTGACACGCGTTTATCCATCTGCACCACTGGAACTGATGTCGCAAAGCTACTTTTTACTAAATGTAAATATACACCCTGTATTTTTTATTCCATAGTAAGAGCAATTCAAACAATACATTTAAACTGAGCTACTTTAATACCATCTCCGAACTTTCTACCACGACTCTGCCGTTGTTCGGCTGGTTCTTCCTGTATACGTTGATTGACAGATCTCTCGTCCAGTCAGCGGTGAGTAACCCCAAACCAATGGCGCTGTCTCAAACTATACCTACCTCTTCCGGTTTGTCTGATTTGTCGTTGTGTTTTCAGATTTGTCATTGTGTTTTCTGACTTGTTATAATGTTTTCTGAATTGTTGTTGTGTTTTCTGAATTGTTATTTTGTTTTTTAGACTTGCATTTGCGTTTGTAATTTGTTATTTTGTTTTCAGAATTGCGATTTGTTCTGCACTTCTCGGCCACCGTAGAACATAGATACAGTCCTGACATGAGGACTGCTTTAAACAGCAATCAGCAAATCAATGCTTCTTTAATTATTACAAAGAAAAAACAAACATCAACAACAACAAAAAATTAAAAAGAACACTTATCCATAACGACAACATATAAATAAAAAAATGCACACATGAAAATATGCATTCTTTGACTATTACCATACAATATATATATAAATGTATGTTTTAAAAATATAAAAAATATAAATGTTTTTGGAAAACAAAAAAATTATATTTCAGATGTGAATTAAATGCAGGTAACATCAAATCATTGTCCTTGGTTTGAAAAAATATATGTTAATAATTTAAAATACTTATATCACATAATACAATATTAAATAATATAATAACTATTATTATTTATTTCTAGACTATTTATTACAAAACACTTTTTTATATAAATAGTCAAAACCACACAACAAAATTACAAAATTAACAAATTTTAAAATGAAAACGTAAACTATAAAAATAAAAACTCATTTAAAATATTATTAAAAACTATAATAAGATATATAAAATACTAAACTACCACTGTCTCCGACTGTACAGTGAAGACAGTCTTCCGCTGTGTTTGCTGCTCATCTGATGTGTGTTTGTCACACCTCTACATGTGTTTACATGAGAAACTCCCGTACCGTTGAGCTGGGAGTGTTTGTTCCATAACCAGAAGATGGAAGAGACGCCAGTGACCATCGACGCCCATCCCTACAGAGACAAAGAGTGCAGAAGCTGCAGAAGTGTTTATGCTACGGTTTTATTCCCAAGTGTGTGTGTGTGTTTGTTTTACCGTCGTGAGGAAGCGAAGGAGAAATGTGCCGGAGTGCTGGGCGAGAAGTTTCGAGGGCTGTCCAGAGGACTACTTCCTGTGTGGACAGGAACAACAGATGAAGCTCAATTAAGATCAAAACTCAATCATATCAGTTAGTCTGTAAGCAGAATATGCATCGGCAAACACATCAGCATCTGTGTTTCCACGGCGACTGGTTTTCCAGCAGGGGGCGTGGCCACTCACCGATGTGCCCCGGTAACGGGGAATGTGGGCGGGGCAGAGTCGGGGAGGTGGAGGTCAGAATCAAACTCTTCCGGTTACTGCGGCAACTGCAGACACACAAACAGAGAATTCAATGGTTTAATTAAATTAATAAATAATTTAAAGAGTATCAAATGTGAGACAATCAGAGGAAATAAAGAAACCGCTACAGATCAGCACAATTAATGCACCATCGCTACAAAATGTATACATTTAATACATTTCAATAATTTCATTTAAATAAATAAATAACAAGAAAACTAAATAAATAAAATAAAAAAAAAACATAAAAGAAATGAAAAAAGAAATAAAAGAGAGTAAAAGAAATAAAAAAAAAACATTTGAAAAAGAAAATAAACTTTAAAATGAATAAATAAATACAAATAAAAATACGATACAATACAATTTTTTTAATAAAATAGAGTAAAATAAACTTTTAAATAATAATAAATATATACATTTTAAATAAAACTTTAATACATTTGACACAATCTGTATTGTTAAAAGCGCTATATAAATAAAGGTGACTTGACTTGACTTAAAAATAAATAAAACACAATTAGAAAATAAAAAATGAAAACCATAAGAGTAAATACAACTTGAAAAAATTATTTATAAATAAATAAACAAACAAACAAACAAACTGAAAGAATGAAAGAAACTTAGAATAGATAAATAAAAATAAAAATAAATCAACTTTAAAAATAGATTAATAAGTACAAATAAATAAATGAATGAAACTTCAAATACAACTGTAATAAAAAAATGCATCACCTCACTAATCAATAAATATAACCAACCGACCATCGTAGCTCATCCATAACTCTAATGATTAAAAGGAATATTTTATTTTAAGAATGAATTGTTTTCAGATTTGTTTTCCATCATCAGATGTCTTGATGAGATCAAATTATGTTCAGACAAAATCACATCAGAGCCGAGAACAGAGAAACTGCTGTGTGTGTGTGTGTGTGTGTGTGTGTGTGTGTGTGTGTGCGTGTGTGCCCTACAGAAGAACAAGAGCGATACAGAAAATTAAATTTCTACAGTCATCAATCTGACTCTATGTGAACCGACGCTCTGAAGAAACAGAGAGACACTCTGGACGAGAGACATACAGATAAACAGATAAAGAGAGAGAGAGAGAGAGAGAGAGAGAGCTAATGGAGGAGAGCGTAAAAGAGAGATACTTGATACGCCTCGAGTGACTGTATGAGAGCCATTACACACCAATACAGTGTGTGTGTGTGTGTGTGTGTGTGTGTGTGTTAGGCTTTATCTACATTGTAAGCAGCGAATGTCCCCACAAGGAAAGTAAAAGCTGAAATCAGCTACACTGAGCAAAGCTGAAAAACAGCTGAAAAATGCTTAATAAACTGCCTAAAGTGTAGACTGACGTTTAGTTAACGGTCTTTAGGGATCATCCTGAACAGAGCGACCCGAGACCCCGTCCCTCTCTTAAAGAGACAGCGTCCTTATTAAATACACATTATCTCTCTTAATGTGTGTGTGTGTGTGTGTGTGTGTGTGTGTGTGTGCGTGTGTGCCCTACAGAAGAACAAGAGCGATACAGAAAATTAAATTTCTACAGTCATCAATCTGACTCTATGTGAACCGACGCTCTGAAGAAACAGAGAGACACTCTGGACGAGAGACATACAGATAAACAGATAAAGAGAGAGAGAGAGAGAGAGAGAGAGAGCTAATGGAGGAGAGCGTAAAAGAGAGATACTTGCGAGTGACCGAGTGACTGTATGAGAGCCATTACACACCAATACAGTGTGTGTGTGTGTGTGTGTGTGTGTGTGTGTGTGTTAGGCTTTATCTACATTGTAAGCAGCGAATGTCCCCACAAGGAAAGTAAAAGCTAAAATCAGCTACACTGAGCAAAGCTGAAAAACAGCTGAAAAATGCTTAATAAACTGCCTAAAGTGTAGACTGACGTTTAGTTAACGGTCTTTAGGGATCATCCTGAACAGAGCGACCCGAGACCTCGTCCCTCTCTTAAAGAGACAGCGTCCTTATTAAATACACATTATCTCTCTTAAAGTGACAGCGCCCCTTCTAAACATTTGTTTCCAGAAGCTTTACTTTCAATGTTCCTCAGCGGAGGAATGATCTTCACAAGCCTCCAAAACATCTCACATCTCATCTTTTGAGGAACATTGATTTGTTAATCTCTCAGTCATCCTTGTATTGCACTGCATTATATGTTTTGCTCATCAAACTAAGCCTTTAAATATCATTTTACTAAGACATTTTTTGGGATATATAGAGTGACAACTGATATTTATATCATTTTATGTAAGTAATCTGTTATACCTGTTATAAAGATCTCATTGATCAGAATCCCATCTTCCTTTTTGTCCATATAAATATCAGTATATGCACCAAATTGCATAGTTTTGCTTTTGCCCAGTTTGGGCCTCTGAATACTATTTTCACTATAGCAGACTAAATGTATCAATGTTAAAAACACGGTACCTCTCTTAAAGAGACAGTACCTCCTAATTTCAACGTTTGAGAACAACAACTATTGAGACTTTTGGCATCATCATGGAGGATTTAACAAGAACAAGACAAGAAGCTAATAGATCAGTTATTCACCAACACATTCAAATGATCCACAAGTAATTTATGACGCAAAAGTGAAAAACACTCATAAGTCTCAACAAAAAGTAAATGTAGTTCATTTTGAGTCATAGTTATTGGTTCAAACACACAAGATTAAAATAAAAATTTTCATTCAATTCAATCAAACGCCATAATATATACACTATACACATGAAATATCATATGAAACCAGATGCATTAATCAGAACATTCACTAACGTGTTAATAAACCTCTTGCACTAATACAGTTAGTGTGTCACAGGCTGCAGGTAAACAATGACCTCAGCGATATCCTCATGTGTAGTAAAACCACATTTAAAACAGATTTGGAAATCATTTCACCTTTTAGTGCGCCGAAACACACCGCGCTGCATGACTGAGAGCACAAAGCAGCCGAATGCTCAGAAACAAGCAGCGTGCATCACAAACATCATCAGATGGAGAGCGCTCAGACCGTCTGCCTTTGCCTGCATGCACACTGGAAAATAGAGTGCAGCGGGGAATTCTGCGTAAAATCTCGAGGGCAGCGGAGGATACCAAGACGAGCATTAAAAGAGGGGGAGCAGGTGCGGCACATCCGTTCACAAGATGCTGCTGAGTGTGTGTGTGTGTGTGTGTGTGTGTGTGTGTGTGAGTGCGTGCGTGTGTGTGTGTGTGTGTTTCAAAATGGAAGTACAATATGCTTTTTCCCAGAGGTCACGGTGATATAACTGAGAATCATGGAAAAAAGTAAATGAGTGAAAAAGAAAGCTTTTAGAGAAATGGACAGAGAAAGAGAGAGAGAGAGAGAGAGAGAGAGAGAGAGAGAGAGAGAGAGAGACATGCAACCTGACAAAGAAAGACAGGTTGAGTCAGGGTTATTAGAGTTAACTACAACTAAAATCAGAAAAACACTTTTTTTTAATACTTGAAATAAAATAAACGAACTGAAACAAAACAAAATAAAAAATGTAAAGATATTTATTTCAGCTAGCTGCCAAGGCAACATTTCTCATTTTCTTTGATTTAACTTGAAGTACTAAAATAACTAAAACTAAACAAACCATTAAAAAAAACATTTGTTACTTGAAATAATATAACTGTTTACTGAAATAAAATAAAATATTTTTTAAAAACGTATAATTATTTTATTTCAGCTAGTTGCCAAGACAACATTTCTCATTTTGTTAACTCCAAGTACTAAAATAACTCAAACTAAAACTAAATAAACGATTAAAAAAACATTTTCATGACTTGAAATAAAATAAATGTCAACTGAAATAAATAAAATACATTTAAAAAACGTTTTTATTTGATATTTCTAATTTCAGTTTAGTTTAACTTTAAGGACTAAAATAATTAAAACTAAATACACTGATAAATAAAAATTAACAAAACCTGTATAGACATTTTAAAAAAAGAAAAAACTAAAACCAATTACCAAAAAAATCATTAAAACTTTAACTAAAATTTTTAATTAAACAGAAAACAAAAATAAAATCTAAAAAAAATTTACACAAATTATAATAGTATCTCAATGACATGAAAAACACTGTGCTGAGTTTGTAACACAAACAATATCAACCCATATGGCAATTTACCATGGTAACCTCTAAAATACCACAGTTACTACACTTACTGTCAGGACGCAACTACTCATTGTTTTATGTATTAAACCCTGATCCACACCACATGCATCTAATCTGAATAAAAAGACGCAAAGGAAGCATTTATTTATCTTTTATTATTACTGAAAACAGACTCACCTGCTGTTCTTACGGGGCAGAGGAAGATCCTTCTGGGCCGAAGACAGAGACACAAACAGACAGACAGAGAAAACAGAGGTCAGACAGGATCAACTCAGTCATGCCATTAAATCAGATACAAAAAATATCACAGTAAGCATCATTTATAGTGAAGAAAGAGGCACAAACACAAAAAGAATGATTTTAAATGATAAAACAATGAGAAAAACAAATCAGAAAATATTTAATATTAATTAAAGTGTGTAAATGTCACTGAGTTTGTGTTTGAAGCAGTTTGGCACATTATTGCAGCACTGAACACTACACAAACGCATCCGTCTGCTGGGTTTGTGTGGACGAAACACACAGAGAGATGCTGCTGCTGCTGTCCTCCAGTTCTCTCTGTACGCCTGTGATTGAACACATAATCCGCTCTCATTCGTCTCGCTGACAGACTCTCTGTCTCTCTGTGAGACTCCAGCAGATGTTCATTCACACACAGACGAACTGGCCGTGCATGTTATGTTCTTATTGTAAATGATTTGTCAGTGCATATTGTGCATATTATTATAAAGAGATGAGACCTTCTTCAACCCATCAATCACACTCCCGAGTCCCGCCCTCTAAAGCAATCTCAGCCAATCCGAAGTCAGCAAAAAGTTTCATGACTTAAAAAGTTGCTTTATTCGTTTCTAGTTGAACATAACTATATTTCAATCATGGCAACTCTCTGAAGATTTTAGCATGGTGATGGATATGTGTTACGGGGCTGACAAGACGTGAGACGTGCGGATCCATGTGCAAGCTTTTATTTAAAGCAGAAGAGGTCAGAAACACAGGCAGGGTCGAACAATGGCAAACAGGTATATGGCGGGCAAGACACAAGAATAATCCTAGGGCTAGAGTAGGTTAACGATCGGCGAACAGAATCAAAAGGGCGAGACTAGAGGGATAAATGCAGGAAAACAGGCAAAGATCAGAAACCAAGAAAACAGACAGGGCAAGACTAGGCTAGGACTGGGAAACTAACGAGGGCTCTGTAAAGTAGCTATCACTGCTGTCGATAAGCACATACAATACTCGGCCGTTTGATAGGAGTAAGATTGAGTGATATATAGTGAATGTGTGATTGGATACAGCTGTGTGCAATCAGTGCTCTGTGCAATCAGTGCTGTGTGCAATCAGTACAATGGATGATGGGATATGTAGTCCGGGATGATATGCAACAGTTTGTGTAGTGCGAGGGTCAATGTAATGGAAAGGGTGACCTTTGATGGCAAGCAGACGGAAGTTCATGGACCGGATTCGTGACAATATGACAATGTTAATGTATTTGGTCTCGGCGGAACAAATCTGCTACGCTGCTGCTGAATTGCTGCTGCTGTTGGTTATTGCTGTAGTTGTAGATTATTGCTGCTGCTACAAGCAAGTACAGGAACTTGCTACTGCTAATGCATATGGTGATACGGTGCTGTGAGTATTTAAGACATACTGCTGCTGCACAAATAGCATATAAAATAACCCTGTAGCAGGTCTATACAGGTGGAGCTGGGGAAGGTGGAGGGTTTCAAAGAACTCTGAAAGTGCGCTGCAGGAATCTCTAGTGAATGCTAGCCAGCCATATAAATGCAAGGCAGTAAGCTCATTGGCTTCATATGCAGCATGAACCAATCAGCTTGTGACAAGTCGTTTAACTCTCTGAATATCATCAGTTACGTTAACACCACGTCAGCCTGCGCCATCTAGAGTTTCATGACTGAACTATATATTTATGCTTGCAGCAGCTTTAATCATCAAACATCATTAGCATTGATTGGCAGACATCACTAATCGATCGGAGAAGCTCAGATGTCCTTGGGCATTTATGTGCTTTCAGAATTAACACTGTGCCTCATTTTGCGACATTCACACTGGAAACCAGATACACATGAAACACAATCTAGAATTTAAACTTGTCAAAACATGTCCAGCAAATTTTGTTTTTCTCAAAATTTACATTACTGGAATGAACATACATGTTCATATTTATATATATATATAGTATATATACCTAATAGGGCTGGACGATATGGCCAAAATTTATATCACAGTATATTTCTTAATTTCGGTCGATACGATATAATTCCGATATCGATATGAACACTATTAAAAAAGCCTCATAAAAACGGCCAAGAACGGCCACAACAGATTTTATTATTGAAAATGCAAACTGCTTGTCTGCCAGCAGGAGGCGCTGTGAGAGCGGCAGAACTAACGGTTTCTCCAGTAATGGCTGTAATCAAAGCAGCTCCGCTCATGAACGCTACTTTATCAAATACAAATGCCATCTAAACTATTCTGAAGACAGTCGGTTACCTTCAGAGATGCATTCATATAAAACACCCGCGACGCGTTTTGATTTTGAAACGTGCAGTGCTCATGTTTATTCAACGAAGCCAAACGCCACAAATAAATCAGTGTATGGGAAACTGGTAATGTATATCGAAATATCGGAAATGTGTTTAAAAATCATATCACCATTATTGAAAAAAATTATATCGCGATACATATTGATATTGAATTATTGTCCAGCCCTAATACCTAGTCAAATAAGAAGTAATAAGTAAAATCTTTTGTTTCGTTACGAGAGTCACCTGATCAAGAATATTACAGAAATAAACAGATTTTATGAGTCGCTACAACAAACCAAGCCAAGAGTAAACCAAAAAGATATTTTAAAATCTAAAGCAGCCATATAAAAGCTTGACAGGTTGAACGTGACCAGCGTCTTGATTCATGCCATTAAGAAAGGAATAGTCTGTATCAGAAGTGTTGTATTTTTAGCTGTATGATTACTCAGCAACAGAAGATGCTCACTTGGCATCGACTGACTGATCAAACGCCGCATCTCTGCGCACTCGTCTGCCTTAAGCTCTCTTATTGATCCTCAATAAAAGCACGTGTTTCCATGACAACACCGGCGGCAGTGTTAGTGCTGCTGACACGTTTATGCCGCTCGCCCCGTGAATGATCGCTCCTGAGGATCAGGCTCTATCGACTGAGGTTAAACTCTCTCTGACCGACCCATCGGGTCAATGACACTAGAGATAACCTGAGAGATCACCAACCCACGGCAGTACATTCACTCAGGACTGACACTTTTTAAGTTCCACTGTAGTTCATACAGTGAGTATAAAATGTGAAAACCATGTCAGAGCAATTCCACTTACCATAAACATGATGGATGAAGAAGATCTTTCACCGAAATATTCATATTTAATAAAGATTTGCAAGCTACAAGTACAAGAGCAGCATGAAGGACTATTTCCTAGTATTTCCACATTTCATGAATAAAAACAAACCAAAGAATTACTAATATATAGTGATGATGCATTTTTGATTACTTCATTGTTTAAGCTATGAATAAATCAGTAATTTAAAAATATATTTAATATTTTAATAAAAAATTTTTATTTAAGTTCTGCAACCGCACATTTGCAATACGTTGAAAATGAAACTACAAAAAAATTTCATTTAAATCAAATTTATATTTAAGAACATGGAATGTGTGCCTTTATTGCATTAAAAATGCAATATAATAAATAAAAGGTTTGTTTCATATATCTCTAATGGTAAAATTTTGCCAAATATATAACTCAAATCTGGGGTTATTATAGTTAACTAAAACTAAAACAAAATAAATATATAAAATAAAACTTTAAATAAAATAAAATAAACTTAACTGAATTTTTAAAAATTAACTTTTATCTCAGCTAGTTGCCAAGGCAACATTTCTAATTTTCATTTAGTTTAATTTGATGTAATAAAATAACTAAAACTAAAACAAACAAAAAAAAAAATTACTATACGGACATATTAAATAAAAATGACTAAAACACACAATAAAATGATTCAAACCTTCAAATTAAAATGAAAACAGAAAATATGAAAATAAAAACTAAAATATTAATAAACACTATGACTATCTCAAATGACACTAAAACAACTGCTTAAATATTTTGAGATAGTTGTAATAGTTAGCATTTGCAATAGCATAAAATCACCCTGTTATTTTCTTTAAAAAGGTAATTTTCTCAGACACATATAAGACTGAAGCTCAAATGAAAAGAAACTTAAGCATAAATGGAGCGAGCGGTCACGGGTCGGAAATCAATGGGGGCTTGGGACAAAATGCCGCTGCACAGTCAGTTACACTAAATCCATTACGGCTGTCGCGAATAAAAAGAAAATGAAATGAAAAATGTTGACTACAGCATTAAATTTAAAATCTGTTCATGCTGCATCATATTCCTTTTTAAGCGTTTTTACAGCTTTGCACATTCTAACCAATCACTGACAAGTCTGTTGAGTTTATGAATGCAGCGGCCAATCAGAGGCGTTCAGATGAGTCATCGCTTAAACACCGGAGTTTTGTTCACTGCGCTGACTGAATTCTGCTCTCTCGCGAATTCTCTCATCATAAACAACTAAGTGCAGATGTGCGTATGATGAAAGTAAGATATTCATCAGTGTGCTGAAACTGAAGTCAGTCACGATGTTCTTTATAATGTAAATGTTCTTTGCAAGCTTTCTCTGTATAATTTATTCGCTGTTTGAATAACCGTGAAAGTGAAAACGTTATAATTAGTAACTTACAATGTTTTTATTAAACTGTAGTGCTGTCAAATGATTACTCGCGATTAATCGCATCCAAAATAAACGTTTTTGTTTACTGAATATATGTGTGTGTACTGTGTATATTTATTATGTATGTATAAAGACACACACATAGTATATTTTTTGAAAATATTTACATGTATATATTTAAGAAAAATATGTAGTTTATATATTAAATATATTTATATATAATATAAATATATACATGTAAATATTTTCAAAAAATATACTATGTGTGTGTCTTTATACATACATAATAAATATACACAGTACACACACATATATTCAGTAAACAAAAACGTTTATTTTGGATGCGATTAATCGCAATTAATCGTTTGACAGCACTATTAAATTATTATCAAGTTTACTACAAATCCAGTCGTATTAAACGTTACTA